ATTCAATAAGATTGCTTCACTGTTGAATGCATATTCTCTATCCACATATTTTCATCATGTACTCACTGCTCTGCTTCTGCATTCTGCCTCCCAGCTCCATCGCAGTATCTTAAGGCTACTCTTTAAAAGAGTCGCTAGAAAGCTCCCAAATAGCAAATTATCGCTCATTACCCTATTTTGATTCCAATGCAGCGTACATCATTGTTGAAAATACCCATCTCTCCTGCCTTCTTAATACTTCCCTCTTCCTTTGAACGTAGGACAATAATGTCTGCATTCTCCTCCTGCCTGCTCGATTGCTCTTTATCTTCTTTGCTAGCTTTGCTTTTAGCCCCTCAGTGGAGATATTTTCAAGGTTCTGACCTTGGTTCTCTTTTCTCTTAATAATCTCTCTAAACAATCTCTTCCATTTGCACACTATAAACAGAACAATCAAGAACCTAAACCATTTTGTCATGAAATCTACACCTATCATTTCTAAGAATCTTCTGAACATCTTGACCTTAACAGTCTACTACCGCTTTCAGTTTAACTTGCCCCAAACAAAATTTATCTTCTACTATCACCACTCCTTTTCCTGGATCTCAACAGTGTAGTTACCCAACTGCTTAATCTACCAAACAAACTCAAAACCCTAAAGTTACCTTTGACTCTTGGCTCTATTCCTCTGTCCCTAAATTATCTCCTTTGACTAAGAACATGACAATAGATTCCTAATTCATCACTCATACTTCTGTTGATGGAATGTTCTAATGTGTAAGAACTTTGATCATGTTCTTCCACTGCTTAAAAATCTTCAATAAACCCTCACTGCTAAAAAAAAAAAATTACATGCTAACACTTAGTCTCATTCAAGCACTCCATGATGTGGTGCCAACCTACTTTTCCAGAATTATCTTCACACTTCTACACTTTCTATATCCTGTTTTCTGACTTAATGTACTATTTGCCATTGCTGAAAATGCTTTCTACTTTCTTGACTCTGAGTTTTACTTAATGATGTTTCTTTTGATTAAAATGTCCATTATTCTCACTTCTAACTTCCTCTGCTGGAATCCCTTCTCGGAACTCACATAGTATGTCATTAACACCTCTTGTGTGATACCTATTATCTTCTCCCTTATTCTGTAGTCTTTCTGTGCTTTTCTTTATACCACACAGGATCTTATAACTAAAGAAATCTTATTTCTGCATCTTCCATTATGTCTCCCATAGCACACTTCATAAAACAGATGTACCAAAAAAAAAAAAATCAATGAAAATTTAAGGGCTTATTTCCTAATCTCTGAGTTTAACAATAGCAAAGCCTGTGATCTGGGTTAATATTCCGTAGTATATGTGGACAACCAGAGTGGCTATTTATTGTCTGTATGTATTCTGACTGGTTGGGACCCATGCTATATCAGATCTGATCACTTTCAATATGATTCCTGATATGATGGTCAACCTTAAAATGTCTTCTGGTGCCCTTAATTGAAATAGAACATTGAGCTAAATGGACCGGAGATACTATTTGGGAGCTCCCTTTGAGTTACCTAAGGTGATGGCTCTTAAGAAGGGGCACTGGCTCAGTGTGAAAGATTTGTAATTTAGGCAACTAATCATACCATATATTAGCATTTTGATTATCTAATGAAGAATACAGACTATCGCCTCATTTTCTTTAAGTAGGGAATTGAAAACATTGCAAGCAGAAAAACAATGGTAGAGCTATGTATTTTATATCCAGTAATTTCCATCTGTAAGTAATGGTAATAGAGATAGCAAGCACAGCAGTAGGTATATGTTGGCTGTCTGTGGTCCACTCTGATTTTTGAGTCTTATGGATATTTCTTTTCATTTCACTTTACTTGGGGAAAGTAGCTTTCTGTATAAATTAGCTTTTTTGCTTTTATCTCATCATGTTGGAGTGGAAGTTATTAAAAAGTAGCAAGGATGCCAGTGTTGAACAGGGAAAGTGTAACAATACTAGGTCTTAGACAGGAACCAAAATCAGATTCCTAAGAAACTGAAGACAACAGGGATCAGCAGGAAAAGATGATCTAGCTAGGAATGGTTGAGACAAGAAGGAAATCTGTGAAAGTGACTGGTTCTGCTACTTCTAGAAAAAGGCAAATATATGGGAGACATTTTGGCAAACTTACAAACTCTGCGCCTTCTGTCCTCTCTCTCTCACTTGTAGCTTTTTATACAAGATTTCCAAGGTGCTTTTCTAACTCCAGCCACTGTCTACCTGCAAATTTTACTTCCGGACATTTTCTTTGGCTACTGCCACTTGGAATGACTGCCACAGCTAAACGGGCTGATATTTTTAACCCTATGTTTTCATGGAAGCACTCCAGCTATGAACCAAAGGAGATCTCAATTTAGATTACTTGGAATCGGTACTGTACAATTATGCAGTTTGTGAACATATTCTTGGTGTTTCACAGTTGACAACACTATATTCCCTTGAGTACCAAATTCACAGAAACCCCAAGGAATGATCTCTCTCCCAGTATAGGTTTTCTAGAATCAGTATGAGGTGTCAGACTAATCAACGGGGGCTTTAGCAAATGTGTATTTTTAAAATAAACAGCCTAGAAAGATTATGGCAGTTCTTTTATGGCCCAAAATAACATGCTTTTACTTATCAGCTGCTTAACAGAGAACTGATACAAAAATTTTTTCAATTTGCATTTCACTGACTATTATTAGTCTGATAGTTCAAAGAAGAGCAGTGAAGTTTTTTTTTTCCTTAAGAGGTGGAAGGGGAGACTCTGATAAGATGATAGAACATTATTATTTTACAGATAAAGGCTGAGGATAGGTGGAATGGCTACCACATAGTTATAATTAGTAGTACTCCTAGCATTCTGCCATGCAATACTGTCTTAAAAAATAATATGAACACATAAATACAGATTTCGATTTTCTTTCCTACAGTCATCCACTCTTTTTGTAGCCTATTTTCAATGCTTTTGTGCCCATAAAGCAATCTTATACTCACTCCAACCAAAACACTTCTTTCTTCTCAACCAAGTCTTACCTTCAGCTAATCTCCCAAGGACAATCAATGAATAGCAGAGGTGAAATGCTACCCATTACTCATCAGGATTTACCCAAATGTTGGTATAACTTACATTGTTCTGCCATGAATTTCATCATTGCCAAAAGCTATCCTGGACAACTTAATACTGGGCCCCATTTCTCTCATTGGTATATTGGAGTATGATGGTTTTGAGAGCTATCAATTTCCATTCCAATGGCATATGATAACTTCTAGCCCAAATAGAGAATATTTTTTGAATTGTAAGCTATTTGACGCAAATCTTATTAACCCCAATTAAGTCAAGCTTACATATCTACTATTTAGTTTCCTTTTCTTATTTACTCCTCGATATAGTTTTATAGCTCATGGAGAGGACTTTCAAAATCAGCATACACCATAAATGGATAATTCAACTGTGGTACATGTACACCATGGTATACTATTTAGCCACAAAAAAGGTGGAGACTTCACAACTTTTGTATTTACCTAGAAGGATTTGGAGAACACCTTCCTAACTAAAGTATCACAAAAATGGAAAAGCAAGCATCCAATGTACTCAATATTAATATGAAATTAGTAGATAAGCAACTACATGCCCACACAAGAGAAAAACACATTTAAATTCAAGAAGGGGGTAGGGGTGCAGTAAGCTCTCACCTATTGGGTACAGTGCATGGGTATATGGAATATCTTCTGGGTAAAGGGCACAACTACAACTTGGACTTTACTTAACAAATGCAAACAATGTAACCTAATTGAATATAGCTTTATATTAATCTGAAATAATAATAATAAAAGTCATAAAAAACTAACATACTTAAAGTCTTCCATTACTTCAAGAAAGAGATGAACTAAAAACAGAAAACCTTACTTAGAAGAGGTAGACAGCTCTGTCCACTTGAATTATCCTAAGAGGCGCTATTATTTACCTTAGCCATAGGGTATAAACAGAGAGGGGGGACAACTTTTCAGTTCCACTTGTGTAAGGAAGGCTGATCTACTTCTTTTATGTTTTTCTCTTCCCCTGAGATAAACTTTCCTAGTGTGGCTTAATCTGTTACAAATCAAATACACAAACAAAAATTTGCTCTAGTGCTTTGGAATTTGGAAGTATCTTGGATTGTGGCTTTCTTCCCTTTGTGGGTAACAGAGAATAGACTAGACTGCAGAACCAAAATGGACTCTAGATGGCCAGGTGCGGTGGCTCAGGCCTGTAATCCCAGCACTTTGGGAGGCCAAGGAGGGTGGTGCCTGAGCTCATAGTTTTGAGACCAGCCTGAGCCAGAGCGAGACCTCGTCTCTCAAAATAGCCAGGTGTTTTGGTGGGTGCCTGTTGTCCCAGCTACTTCCGAGGCTGAGGCCAGAGAATCACTTGAGCCTAAGAGTTTGAGGTTGCTGTGAGCTATAAAGCCACAGTACTCTAGCAAGGGTGACAAAGTGAGACTCTGTCTCTAACAAAAACAAATAACAACAACAAAAAAAAAACAATAAAAATCAAAATGGCCTCTATAAAGAAGCACCGGCTCACTTTCCTTACCTGTGAATAGCTAAGTGACATCCTTAGGCCCAATTATGATACTTTTAGTGATTTTAATTACATTTATGGTTTGAAACCAACTTCTACCCAAACCACATACTTATAAAATAACAATTAAAATATTTAATATTAAGCACAGTGGGAGTCTTTGTTTCTGGTTTTTTGTTTTTTTTTGCCAAGTCTACAGTTACAGTTATTTGCAGATTTATTTACCAAGTTGAAACTTGTAATCACATAGATGTAGAAGCCTGCTGAGATTTCACACATGAACTGAGATCAACTGTTAAAAACAAAGTCTTACAAAAAAATAAAAAATAAAAAAACCAAAGTCTTCATAGGGAAGTAAAAAAAATGTTTTTCTTTTTTGGGGGTTGCTATTTGACTCTGAGCATTCACATTTTACAATAACACGTGACATAGAATGGGTTTTACCTGGATTCCTTGGAATGCGCTTTCTGCGGTCCCGGAATGCTGCACCTGATTGTAGGGCTTCTAGAAGATTATCCATCACACCAGTCTCATCACCCTCTGGAGGAAGGCAGAAATAAGAATTAATCTTGGAGCAATTAAAGTTAAACTACAGGAAAATAAAGGGAAAAACTCCTGTCAGATTTACATAATACCCCTAAATTAAAGACATATATCTGTTTTAACATAATGGATCCTGTCAGTTTCTGGCACCACAGACTACTTTGCTTATTACGCACCATTAAGCAAAATTCATGCCAATCCCACTATTCCTTCAACTTAAAGACCTTGTCTTTTGTATTATTGATGACACGCTCGGTATGCAAATAAACAGTAGCTGATCAGCTTCCGCTGCCTTCCTGTTAAGATTCTTATAAGATATTCCTTAGCAAGAAACTACTGACCCGGCTTAATGCAATCAATGTGCAGGGCGTGATTTGATGAAGCGGAGTTACACAAGGTTAAATACTGATTATATTAATACCTTCAGCATTCAACCATCATCTGCGATTATCTTTAAAAACACTATTTGAAAAATACATTTGCATTCAATTCCTATTGAATCCATATCCCGTATCCATGTTGAAATGCTGACATTGTATAAAGAAAAGGTGACCACATCATCTGAAAGGCTGTATTTTACATTTGAGAGACATCAGTCAGAGTCTCACTTCCTTTTTAAAACACTATTGTGCGTCTAAACTTTTCCTATGGGAAAGAACCTTTAAGAAGTCATAAGTGGAGTACTCAAAAGATGTTCATGGAAATTCCTAACAGAAACAGCATTTAAAACATTTCACCCTACTCTTATCTTTGACAGCTCTGGCCATCAAAAACACTTTTAAGATTTGTTAGAGCATTTATCTCAAGGAGTCAGTTGCCAGAAACTCTCTACTACACTGTGGATAATCCATAGTGAGCTAAGCCCTCTCTTACCCATGGGCCTAGCTGATGAAAAGCAGTTGTTAAATGTGCGGGTGTAGGGTAGAGGACACTTGTAGTCTGGAAGGTTAAGAGAAGAAGAAAGGATAAATGAGGGCAAAGACATTGGTCCTAATGCTATTCCAAGGTTAAATTTAAACACTACTTTGTTTAGTGACTTAACTATGGGGTGGCAGATCACAGAGACAACTATATTCTCTTATGGGATAAGAAGAAGCTAAAATCTTTGATTAGGCTCTGAATTTGACTTGAGATGTCTTCAGTGTTATGACAACATATTTTTAAAAATGAAACTCTCTAGGGCAGAGCCTGTGGTTCAGAGGGGTAGGGCGCCAGCCCCATGTGCTGGAGGTGGTGGGTTCAAACCCAGCCCTGGCCAAAAACTGCAAAAAAAAATAAAAAAGGAAAAAAATAAAAATAAAAGTAAATAAACTCTCTAGGACAGGATGAATGAAAAAAGTGAAGGGAAACACAAATGTTTTTAGGTCTCATATTTGGTGAAAACAGGAGAAACAAAGTAGAGCCCAAAGATTAAACAGGGAAAGGGGCTTGTGCACCTTTAATATTCATTAAGGTCTAATACATCTGAACCATCACCTGCTGTCTTCAATAAAAGGAAAAGAGGAAGCTGGAACATATTCTTCTTAGCAAAGTATTTCAAGAATTGAAGAAAAAGTATCCAATGTACTCAGTCTTACTATGAAATCAATTTATAGAAGCTATAACCCAATTATAGCCCAAGAAGGGGAAAGGGAAGAGGGAGGGGAAGGGAGGGAAGAGGGGAGGATGGGTGGAGGGAGAGTAATTGGTGGGACCACACCTACGGTGCACCTTACAAGGGTACATGTGAAATTTACTAGGTGTAGAATATAAATGTCTTAACACAATAACTAAGAAAATGCCGTGAAGGCTATGTTAGCCAGTTTGATGAAAACATTTCAAATTGTATATAAAACCAGCACATTGTACCCCAGGATTGCATTAATGTACAAAGCTATGATTTAATAAAAAAAAAAAAACCCATAGAAAAGAGGAATTGAAAGTAGCTTGACATGGCTAGAATGTACCTGGGAGAATTAAATTTTATTCAGTAGCCACTTTACAGTTGTTAAATCTTTGTATCCTGACAACACATTGAGGTAGGTACTCTCTGTTTTCTGGGGACACTGAAACTTAGATGTCATACAGCTAACGTACAGAGGGGCCCAGGTAAGAACCCAGGTCGGTCTGACACCAAGGCCATCGCTCTTTGCACAGTGCATGGCAGAAGTTGAAATGGACCAGGTATATGATGGCCAGATGACAAAAGATCAAAACTCTGTGACATGGGACTTGAACACTACTCTATGAGCCAGCACAGTCCAATAGGCATATAACACAGGCCACAAGTATGAGGCACGTAAATAACTTTAAATATTGTAGTAGTCATATATTTTAAAAAGTGAAATTGATTAAAAAGTAAAATATTTAACATATATATATTAATGATAAACTTTATATTCTTTTTATCAGACTAAGTCTTAGAAATCTAGGGTACATTTAGTTCTACACACCTGACTCAGCTCAGATTAGCTACACTTTAGGCACTTAATAGCCACATGTTGATGGTGGCTACTCTATCAGATAGCACAGATATAAATAATAGAAAGTGACTTGATTATATTTATGCTTTAGAAAGAATCATCAGACAGCATTGTGGAGGATGACTCAGAGGATGGCAAGACAGAAGGTAGGGAAATTTTTAGGTACATAACACATAAAGTAACATTAAGAGACACACAAAGGCCTGAACTAACAGGAAAGCCGAGGGAATGGAGAAAATGGATATTTTGAAGTTATGAATACAATCCATGGGACTTGGCTGGGGTGGGTGGGTGGTGACATTAAGGAGGAGGAAAGGAGTCTAGACGACCATGGATAAAGAAGTTTGAGAAAATGTGATTTATTTCTGAGATGCCTAAGGAATATCTAAATAGGGATAGCCACTAAGAAGGTGGAAATATGGGTCTAGAACCTGGGAGTGAAGTCTGGGCTAAAGCTAAAGATTTGGGAGTCATTGGAAGATGGATGAGATTACCCTGAGATAGAGCAAAGGGGGGTGGAGGATGAAATTCTGGAGGACCCCAACTTTTAAAATAAATTTTTAAAAATCGCTAAGTAAAAATTGTACGCAGTATATTTACAATGTACAACATGATGTTTTGACATATGTGTACATTGTGGAATGAGTAAATCAAGCTACTTAGCATATGTATTACCTTCCTTATCATTTTTTGTGGTGAGAACACTTAAAATCTCTTAGCAAGTTTCAAACACGTAATATACTGTTACTAACGGCAGTCACCATGATACATAACATGTAGATCTCTTAGACTTACTCCTCCTGTCTAACTACCATTTTGTGTCCTTCAACCAATATCTCCCTAATCCTCCCACCCCTGGAGGACCCCAAGTTTTAACAGGCAGTCAGGAGAGGCCAAAGTACAAAAAATGCCTTTTAGAAGTACTAGCAGGAGAGAATAAAAGCACAAGTAAATTTTATGCATCCTTATAAAAATGACAACTATGAAAACTGCGTATCAAAATAAATATATGTAAACAAAGGAAAGAAAAGGATACAAAACATAAATACGCAAACATAAACATTCTACAATATGACAACATTATGGGTATTATTTTATTAAAATTCTACTTTAATGCCTTTATACATTTTGATTAGACTAAAAAGATGGAAACACAACTATGACATAAAGCAGAGAAGAAGTAAAAATAAATCCCTTTAAAAATAAATAAATAAATCCCTTTGCTTAACTTAGTAGTTGTCAACGTGACAACACTTATCAAAACAGTATCACACAAGATCAGTGTTTGGCAATCATTTTTCATTATTGTCCTCTTCCCCACCCCCAAAACCTTTTTAGAGCTTTTTTTCCTAATGTCCCCCACCTGTTAAAATTTAATGCCACAGATATATTGCATATCCATTTGTGTACTGTGGCCCTCTGGAGGGTTACAGACCATTGTAATGTCTAAGATTTTTCTCTACCCACTTTCCTAGGAACTAGTATCCGCCCCTTTTGGGGTAATATTGTCCCTGCTGAGAATGCATGTACTAGACGGTTGTGCTAAAAAAAAAAAAAAAAAAAAAAAAAAAAAAAGTCTTGTAAACATCACTGATGTATTAAAGGAAAGAAATGTAGGCTTCAGTACCTTATTAATGTTTCATTTGCTCCACGATAATATTCAAAGGAGCTGACTGATTTTCATGAAATGTCTAACCTTACTGAATCAAGGTTTTATGAATATAATCATAGGATGGATTTATATTTCAGTTAGTCTGCCTAAACCAAAGGGGAAGCCAACAAGATCATGTGAAAAAAGTTAGCCTTCATTTTGAATGAATTTCAGTGAAATTTGGTAGGTGACTGAATTGGAGGTTGACAGTTCACTTAGCATTTCCAAGTTTGCAGAACCATTAATTCTCACTTGGATGTGATTAGCAGTGAGTAGATTTTATATTTTGTCTGAATTTAAACAGAGGAAAAAATATTTTAAAGTGTTCTGTTTTCACTGAAAAAGAAAATAACACAGATACAAAAAAAAGTGGGTCTTTATTTTTAAAACTTACAGTCCCTATGTTACTGAGTCAAAGAATATCAAGGGGGAATTTGGTAGTGCTTTTTAGCCACTAAAATAGCAATATATGGGCATGTCTTAGAGGTAACAATTTGAAATTAGTTACAGATAATTTTAAGTAGCTAGCTAGGCTACATACAGTCTGTGGGCTCTGTGTGAGTTGCTTATTATTAGACAAAATGAAAGGCATACATTGCACCTTCTTTTCACCTTTCCCATATTATTTGTCATTTGGTAGATGCTGAATGCTTGCTAATATCAATTTTCAGTCTCAACATTTGCCTGTATTGGGTTGACTTGATTTCCCCAAAAGAATCTGTACATGCTACAGATTAAAATTAGGACTAAGTAAATTATTTATCCCTGCTATACTTTTTGTACAAGCCTATTCCCTGTTGCTTAGCGCCTACTTATTGAGAGACCATTTTCCATGGGTTTCTCACACTTCTGCACATTTTGTAAACAGAAGTGCTAATGGTCTT